TGCTTCCAGGGTTAACATACATTATTACTTTACCCCGAACTGCTGGTAAAGAATTGTTAACAAACAAATTAATACGTTGTGGGTTTGTTTCCTGGCCAGGCATTTCATTAGAGAGCCAAGCGGCTGAAAGTCTATTGTGAAATGTATGCGGTGACTTGCCTTCCCATTGCTTCATGTAAGCTACCAAAGTCACTCCTGCCTGGCCTGGGGACATGTTGCTTTTTAACAACCCTACGGTGTCTTTAAATGACTTGTCTTGTTTTGAAACTTTGGGGGCAGAGTATTTCATAAAGCCCCGTCTGCAGTTAACTGTAAAATCTTAACCTTGTCTTCTGCATCTCACTGAAACAATTTGACTACAGTTTCTAAATGTACTGTGTGAGCAGCCACCAGATTTCCCCCCCTTTTTTTATTGGCTCCTCCATTTTTACAATGTCTTCTAAGTAGGGTGACCAGATAGTAACTGTGAAAAAACAGGACACGGGGTGGGGATGGGTGATAGGTGCCTATATAAGAAAAAGTCCCCAAAAATGGGACTGTCCCTTTAAAAACGGGACATCTGGTCACCCTACTTCTAAGGTTTTTATACTTGTTACTATTGGAGAAACTGTTAGATTTTTTTCTCTTTTACAGTTCCATGGGGGAGTCTGGGTTCCTCTTCCTCTAGAGGAATTGGTATCTCCCAAGTTTGGGCAACTTTAACAGTGGACAATTTAGGTAGGGAATTTTACTGAAACCCTTTACATTTTCGTTTGGCTGGGGTAGGTGCCTGCACCTTAGAAAAGTCCGGCCCTGGCATGGGTTTCTGTGGAGGCTCTGGTTTGGGCTCTAAAGTCTCTTGGGGTACAATGGACATGTTAGATTTCAAATGAATGATGCCACTTGTTCTTTTTATTATGGCTTCTGACTTGATTGGCTTAGCGATATTACAGTTACTTTTAGAGTGCAAAGCCTTTTGTCTTTCTTGAGAGATACTGATATCCAGAATTTCATCCTTACAGGCTTTTACAGCAACTTCTACAGTTCCCTGAGTTTCTTGCAATAAACGATCCCATTGTGGATGGGCTTCCAAGATATTTGCCTTACCCATTTTTTTTCTTCCTCCCCTCTTTCACGATAAATACTAGTTGCCGTTAGCTTCATTTTCTGGTTTATTCCTTTAATACTTAATTTTTGATCAAAACTTTCACTAACACTGGCTGTGACCTGCTTTTTTTTCTCACTAACAGCTTTTTTAGATTCCCCCCCCTCCTCCCCCCAAAAAAACAATTTTTTTGGCAACTGTGTTGGCATCTGATACTTTCTCTATTCCTAACTTTCCAGATTGTTCCGTTTCCTGTTGCTCTTCCTGTCTGATTTTAGCTTTCAGGCTGATAAGTGGGGGTGAGATTCTACCGCCACTTGCTGTGGGTTGGTCATTTCCAGGTTCCACCACAGCCACTGGAACATCTGGAATTATATTTACAACGTATACAGGTGGCAACTTCATCTCCATGCACTTATCCTCCACATTTACTTGAGGGATCTGTCCATTTTCCCCTTCACTATCAATTACCTGTTGATACAGATCCTCCAGAATGTCACGAGTTTGCTTTAGTGCCTGCGTTTTGTGAGATACCGCTACTATTTTTACTTCTTGCCCAAACAAATGTTTCTGCCCCGTGTTTTCTTTTTTCACATCATAATTTTATAACCAGCCTCTTGCAGGTGTTGCTTACTATAGCTTAAGTCTCTTGCCAAACTGTTCCTTTGATTAAGGAGAACAGGATTTACCTCCCTTACCCTACTAAGGCTAGGTCTACACTACCCGCCTGAATCGGCGGGTAGAAATCGATCTCTCAGGGATCGAATCATCGTGTCTCATTGGGACGCGACAATCGATCCCCGAATCGACGCTCTTACTCCACCAGCGGAGGTGGGAGTAAGCGCCGTCGACGGGGAGCTGCGGAGGTCAATTTAGCTGCCGTCCTCACAGCGGGGTAAGTCAGCTCCGATAGGTCGAATTCAGCTACGCTATTCGCGTAGCTGAATTTGCATATCTTAAATCGACCCCCCCCGTAGTGAAGACCTGCCCTAAGTTGTTTTTTCAATGTGTAACTAGTCTTCTGCTCTTTGCTTAAGCCTTGTTTTGCCTTCTCCAGTTTTACCTTTCTTTTAAATCTTTTCCGTAGGATATTACATGCTATATATACACAATCCAGGGCTATTTCTTTCACCTCTTAAGCCTTTTTGTGTTTACCTTTTCAAAGAGGAATTACAGGAAATGTCAGGGATCTCTAGGCGCTCCAAGCACTACAGTCGTTGGTTTCTAACTAACTCTCCCCCATGGGCTTTAATGTCGTCTCGCACAAAGGCCTCCCGGGACGTTTGTGGAGTTGGAATTGTTGCAATAAATGCCTGAATGGGTAACTTATTTTGTTCCCTATTTCTTTTGGAAAAGTGGGCAGGCGTCCCTTCCTTGCTCCTAAAATGTTTCCAGGGATTTTATTTTATTTTTTAAATTGAGAAGGGCTTGTGGTGCTTACTTCTCCTTCCGCTGTTTTACGGCTGGAGCACACCGAGAGGAGGAGCAGTGACCAAGGCAACCCCACAAAGATGTCCTCCATCGGTGGTGTAGTCCAGAGGAGTTTAAAGTTTGGGGAGCTTATTAACTAATATGGGGGGAGGGGCGCTTGTTGCTTATTATTGACAAATGACAGCGAAGTGTCCGACCCACTCTGCCACGCCTGATAGGGGGTTTTTACCCATACATGAGTTCAAGGATCCGTTACACAATTGCAATTCCTATTTTCTTCCCCTGAGCTCCATGTTTACAACATTACCCAGACAGACAGACATAGAATGCAAGCGGGCATAAGCAAAAGCAAGACGTCTCCCAGTATGACTTTTGATCTAGAGATATTTTTTTTTCTTAAAACCTTTGTTTCTTATTGGGTTTCTGTGTTTACTATGGTTCCACGTGCTCTTTATGGTTTCATGCGTTTTCTACGGTCCTGGGTTTCGGCACCAAATCTGGAGCCTTTCTTTCTATTTAACATCATTCACATTTCCCTGGGTTCAGCTCTGGTGGCTACAGTCTCAAGTTCAACAGAATTGTCTGACTGTTCTCAGTGGTACCAGATGACAGAACAAGGAGCAATGGTCTCAAGTTGCAGTGGGGGAGGTTTAGGCTGGATATTAGGAAAAACTTTTTCATTAGGAGAGTGGTGAAGCACTGGAATGTGTTACCTAGGGAGGTGGTGGAATCTCCTTCCTTAGAGGTTTTTAAGGCCCGGCTTGACAAAGCCCTGGCTGGGATGATTTAATTGGGAATTGGTCCTGCAGGGGGTTGGACTAGATGACCTCCTGAGGTCCCTTCCAACCTTGTTATTCTATGATTCTATGTCTCTGTTCTAGATTTGGAACCCACAGGAAACCATAGGCAAGTAACACATACAATTACAAGAGCATCTATCTTTTAGTAGTTTTTTTAAAGTTGCCAATAAAATCAAAAACGTTACCGCACATATAATTCCAAATCAAGATATGTGCCATGCACTAATTATAACTATAGAGATACTTGCATCCTCCTAGGTGGCGTTAAAGTCTGTTGGCCCTCTCAAACTCCGTTGGCCCTCGCATGGATTGACTGTCAATATGGGAGTGGTTTCTGCTGGAGTTTCCCATAGGTTAAATTTAATTTTCCCACTTCGACTTTCTCAATATTACCAGTTTCTGCCTCTTTTCTTAGAATTTTAGGGCATCAGGTCATTTTTAGGTCACCAACTGGTATCCAAGGCCTAAAATAGCTAAGCAATGTCTTTCAGCAGGTCTCAGGCTGCAGTCTTCTCGTGTTTCAGCTTGTCTGACTTATTACCTAGTTCCTCGAAATATTGCTTAATCTTATACTATTATAATCCTATAAGTCAATTCTGATGAACATATAATGAGTATATAGAATGTAATCATAATATCACACAATAAATGAATACCAAACTAAAATCATTGGCTACCCCCGATAGATGGTCGAGTTCCTCACTACATAGGCTGGGATTCTCCTTTGCAGCCTGGAACCACCTCCCCTGTCCACAGTCTTGGCTCTCCAGACGTGCTCCCAGGTGTTGAGTTGTGGGGGGCGAGAGGCCAAAAGTCACTTCCCATCCTTTATAGGCTCTTCCAGCTTGCTGGAAAGATCTTTTGTTATGACATGAGTCAAGCCATGTCCATCGTCTATGGGCTTCCTCTGAGAAGCCTTCAGTCCTTGGGAGTGTGCATTCCCCTTAATGGGCCATCAGCACTGTCTGGCTTCTTCACTGTTGTACCTGAAAGACTGGTTGTGGATGTTTCCAACCTCACAACATCTTCCAGTGACACACACCAACCACAACTTCGTAACTGCCCATACAATGACAGCACATACAATCCACCAGGACATTAATGTTCAACAGATCAAGCCTTTTTGAATGATACCTCACAAAACACACTGTGTACACAACATAGCAGAATTATATCACCATGGTAAATATGGGGGTGCCAGGGAACTGCTTTGGAGCACAGAGGGTCACAGCGCCAGGGACAGGGACAGAGATGTGAGGCTCCAGGCCTTGCTCATGAGGAAGAGAATCAGGAACTTCACCCTGTCACCACCAGCATGAGACAAACCAACCCCACACGGATGGGGCCAACGCTCCAGCCTGGAGTCTGCCCTGGCCGGCCTTCACCACCGCCCATCCCCCACTGCTATGTGCCCTGGCCCTCACTATACCCCATCCCTCAGCTCCATCTCCCCTGGCCCTCATCACTTCCCATCTCCTGCCCCATCTGCCCCAGTGCCCTTGCTACCTACCATCCTCCACCATGTCTGCCCTGCCCCTTGTCACCTCCCATCCCGTTCCCCTGTCTACCCCACCCCTCCTGGCTCAGCCCCCTGGAGTTTCCTTTCAAGGCAATATTGAATGAAGTAGCTAAGTCCCACCTAGTGCCACCTCCCCTGCCCCGGGCTAGTCACGGGGAGAGCAGGAGTGGGCACCACCCCTCTGCAGCATGTGGTGGGTGGGGGGGAATGGAGCTATAAGAAGAGGGGCTGGGAGCTGAGAGCCCATCACTGGGGATCTGGTGAGAGCATCTGTCAGTGAGAGACGGCACCTCCTGCTCCTGCCCCATGGAAACCATGGTGAGTCCCCCACCTTGTTCTGCCCCATGGAAACCCTGGTGAGTCCCTCCCGCCTCCTCCTGCCCCATGGCAACCCTTGTGAGTCTCTCCCATCTCCTCCTGCCCCATGGAAACCCTGGTGAGTCCCTCCCACCTTGTTCTGCCCCATGGAAACCCTGGTGAGTCCCCGCTGCCCCTCATCTCGTGCTCCATGGCAACCCTGGTGAGGCGTCCCCCCCCAACCTCTTGCCCCATGGCAACCCTGGTAAATCCCCACCGCCTCCTCCTGCCCTATGGAATCCCAGGTGAGTCTCCCTTCCCCCCACTCCTGGCCCATAGAGCCTCATGGAAGACCTGTCTGCCATTCACACCCCACCCCATCAATCTCCAGGGGGTTATCCTCTGCCCCCCCTCCTGTCGGTGGCGCATCAGGGGCTAGGGGATGTGGGTCAGGGGCTCTGGGTTTGTGCCCAGGCTCAGGGGCGCTGACACTGCGGGGTCCTGTGCAGGTGCCGGGACGGATGCCCAGGGCTGGACTCCTGCTGCTGCCCCTTCTCCTCTGCTTCGGGCCAGAGACCGCCGGGAGCATCAACCCGGCCGCACTCAGAGAGATTGGGGATCATGTGAACAAGTGAGTGAGAACCCAGTGGGGCATTTCCCATCTGGCTGGGACCCCTCTGCCCTCCCCGGGTGGTAAATGAAGGAAAAAAGGGGGGAAGATGCTTCACATTTGCCCTCTGTGATTTTCTATGGCACAGGTGGCTCAGTGCATGGCAGAGCTGGGAGGGGTGATTCTGGGGGTGCAGGGGGAGTTGGGGCTCAGAGCTGGGAGGGGTAATTCTGGGGTGCAGGGGGAACTGGGGGCTCAGAGCTGGGAGGGGTGATTCTGGGGTGCAGGGGGAGCTGGGGCTCAGAGCTGGGAGGGGTGATTCTGGGGTGCAGGGGGAGATGGAGCCTGGAGCTTGGAGAGGGGTAATTCTAGGGGTGCACGGGGGTGGGGAGTGGGTCTCATTACTATTGTGAAAAACTGGTTGGAAACTGGAATTCCAATTGCCTCGGAAATTCTGAAATTTCTATTTTCTTTTCAGTCTGAATTAGAACTAAAATTTGAAAACTTCCATGGAATGGGAATTCCAAATTTTGTTTTGGAAAAATTAAAAACAGATTTCAGTTGGACCATATCTGAATATTTCATTTCAGTAAGATTAAAATATTTCCATTTCAGCTTTAGCAACTTGAGTTTCCTGCTATATAATATAATATAATATAATATAATATAATATAATATAATATAATATAATATAATATAATATAATATAATATAATATAATATGAAAGTCCAGATGTTTTCACCTGTATATTATAAACAGTAATATAACATAACAAAAGTAAAACAAATAAAGTCATAACCAAATGTTTCTATCCAAACAAATTGTTCTGATAATTTTTCATTAGAAAATTACATAAAATGGATGTATTCCCTTGGAACGTTTAGATTTTGTTGAATCAGCCTTTCCCTAAAGAAAACTGTTCTGTCAGAAAAAATTTGCCCAGCGATAGTCATGTGCTTACTGGAATAAATAATACCTTGCACCCAGGACTCTTAAAAGAACTGGCCTGTAGGATAAGTGCCCCCCCCCCCAGTATTATCAGGGTGAGGATGTTAGATTTGGGCATGGGAGGCTGAGCATTAGCATGAATATTCATGATAGCGCTCAGGCCCTATAATAGGACAAACCACCATGAACCTGCCTTCATTCACACCCCCTGCTCCAGAGGCTGGGGGCTGTAGCAGGAGGGGGGCTCAGTTTAGGGGATGAAGGTCTGCTGGACTCACCCTGCCCCCACAGGTGACACCTGTGCTCCCCCAAGCCCATGCTGTGTCCACCCAGAGCAAGATTCCCTCCCAGTAGATCGTAGCTAAGGCGAAGGTGCACTGGGCTGGGAATCAGGACCTCTGCTCCCATGTCTGCTGTCTAGCGCACATCACAGCCCTTGTTACTGATTTGTTACCTGCACACTCCACCCACCTTTACCCTTCCATGGGCTCAAGGCGTAACCCGGTTCATTTAGGCACCCCCAACCTTTCCTAGTTCCTAGGGCTCAGGGCCTAATTTTCTGCAGGTTTGTGGGGCCTTTTACCAGTGAAAGAGCCTTGCACAGTCATATCCTTAACCTCTATGTACGAACAGTTACCCAAACAGAACACACAGGGGAAGCAGACAATGCTCACCGCTCCCACTAAGGCAGACGGACTTTTCCTGGGGGCCAGCCAGTGTCAGGTCATCTGGGGCTCCAGCTGCTGCATTAAGGGCTGGCAGAGTGCTGAGGTCGGGCAGCTCTGACCTTGGGCTGTGCCCTGGAGTTAGCGTCCAACGAACTTCCTTTTGGACCCCAGTTTCTATAGTGAAACTTGAGTCCTGCTTAGCTGTACCTGACCCAATCATTGTAAACTGAAATACTGCAACATCGTGTTTTTCACCCATCCTAGCCCATTACAAAACAATTCTTTACCCAATCGTACCCCGCCACCTTCGTTGATTTAAATCTTGCACAATTAGTCATGCAACTGACAGAAACAATCAAAGAACCAGACAGAGTCCACCTAGATAAACAGTAGAGAAGTGGGGGACTATAAAGGCAAAACGATAGACGTACAGATTGAACAATGACAACTGCTGATAAATGGTTTCTTGCCAGACTGCTGAATGCTGTCAAACCAAGTTTTGATTAAAGATGTTAAGACCTGGTGATGGTGGGGACTGTTAGGACAGAAGCGCCTCCTTAAAAGCCCGATGTTGCATTGTTTTTTATAATTTAGAGGGAATGTGATTCTCTGTTTCGTGGCTGCCGCTGCTTATTGCTGAGAAAGGCCTCAGACCTTACAGATTAGTGCCCTGTCCTGAGTCAGTTATGAGCCCCAAACCCTCCCCAATTCGGCTGCACAAGGCCACTTCAGGCAGAGGTGGGATGAGAACCCAGCTCTCTAACGTAGCAGACACAGAGCCTTTCACACTGAATGTGCTACATATATGTGCCACTGTTAGCCTCCCTTTAACCACAGTCACAGTCCCTCCCAGAGCTGGGGGGAGAAATGAGGAGCCCCGATCTCCAGTATTCTTCAGCTCTCCAGCAAATCGCTGTGTGTCCCAGGGCCAACTGTGTGTCACGTCCCTCTCTTGGGGTGGCTCCGTGTAAAAGCTCCGGCTTGCTCCTGGAGCTCAAGCGATAACACTCAGCCCTGTGGCGCTGACGGACCAAAGCTCACACCGGGCTAATGATCCCTGATGAAACCTGTGGCAGTTTCTTCTTAAAACCGCCCTCCACGTTTATTTCATTCTCCCAGGGAGCAAACATCCCCTGACCCAGGCTGGAGCCCTGAGAGCCTAGAACCGGCCAGTGACGGCGCCATGTGTGACCCAGCCCAAGTTTGCCGCTCAGGGCTGGGGGCAGAGCTGTTCAGAGCCCTGCGTCCCCTCACTGCCCTTTGCTTTGCCTTCCCTTAGGGATGGGTTGGCTGTTGAATACGCCTTCGCCATCAGCCTGGAGAAAGCCAGTTGTGAGAACCCATCTGGTCTGGAACAGATGCTGCGCAGGAACAAACTGCAGGACATGCAGGCGGCCATTAACGCAGAGGGCAGCCTGTATGACCCAGACGAAGGGCCCATTGTGGCTGCCCGGATGAAGCACCTGGGCAGGGGAGGGGAACACACCGAGTGGCGCCTGCTCCAGGGCGACCAGAACAGCCCCGTGCAGAAGCTCCTGGCCCGGCCCTACAACGAGAGAAGCTGCCTGATCTTCTTCACCGTCCGCTCGCCCTGCGCGGGGACGTGCCTGCTGGTGAAGAGGCCCCACAACATCCTACAGATGGTGAGTGACACCTTCCGCCCCATCGACCACAACTACAAGGCCTTTGTCTTCCGGCAGATCTACTGGCAGGACCGGGACCTGGATCCCCAAAGCCTGCTGGAGGCCTGGCACCGGCTGCCCGACGTGCCCCTGCTGCGCTGTGACACCAAGGGCTGCAGGGACTGCAGTGGGAACGACCCCAACACCGACACCAACGCCTGCCTGGACGAGATGCGAGCTATGAGGCAGCCGCTGCACCTACCTGGCAGAGGGCAGGAGGGAGAGCAGGGGGCAGAGAGGAGAGCAGAGGATGTAGGGGAGAGCAGGGAGCACCTTCAGAGGGCTGGGGAGATGGTGGGGCAGGGGGCACCACTGGAGGGCTGGGAGGACAGCGAGGCAGGGGGTGACATTGTAACATTGGGGGGATGGCCGGATATTGAGTTCCGTCGGAGGCATGGGGGACGGTGGGGTGGAGGGTATGGGAGGCATAGGGGACGGTGGGGTGGAGGGTATGGGAGGCGTGGGGGACGGTGGGGTGGGGGACGCCGTGGGGGACGGCGGGGCGGCGGGCGCCGTGGGGGACGGCGGGGCGGCGGGCGCCGCGGGGGACGTGGAGGGCGTGGAGGGCGTGGAGGGCGTGGGGGACGGCGGGGTTGAGGGCGCCGCTGGAGGGTTGGGGGGATGGCGGGCCAGGGGGCACCGTTGGGGGAGGGGGGAGGGTAGGGCATGGGGCACCATCAGAAGATTTGGGGGATGCAGGGGGTGGGACATTTCTTCTCTCAAGGCCTGTGATTTTGAATGATTAACACCAATAAACTGTCGGAGCCTCCTGGGGTCTCGTGTCTCTGTCCCTGTGTCTGTCTCCCTCCTCTCTGTCCGTGCATCTGGACTTTACACAGTGTGGGAGGCCCCGCAGTCTCCCTGGCAGTGCCCCCTTCCTTGGGCCAGGCCTGGCCCCCACTTTTTGCCTGAGCCCAGACCCTTAGCACAGAGTCACCCCCTTGGGAGCGAGGCAGGGCAGCCTTTGCCAGACACCCAGCACGGCTATGGATGAACCTGGCCATGTGCTGCCATCTGCTGGTGATGTGAAGGTAGACACATGACAAACACAATGGGCAGACCCCCGTTTGCATGTTTCCTGCCAGCCCTGCACTGGCTGGATCAGAAGGGAGGGGGAGCGGGAGCTCAGCGGGGGCTGAGAGGGGGTTGGGGCAGATCTGCCCTGTGTGCTCTGGGTGGGTCCATGAGATTGGTCCACACCACGAGAACTGCTGGGCAAAGCGCTCTGGCTCTAGCGCTGGGTGCACGTCCACCTGCAGTGGGACGTGTAGGTGGCCCATCACTCCGTGGGGACCTGCAGCTCCCCGGACTGACGGGACGAGGTTCCAGTCAGTGGCTGGAGGCTCTGAGGTGCTGCGCTGGGGATGGGGGACGGGAACAGGGGGCAGGAGAGACAGTTAGACAGAAACCTGGGCCTGCCCTGGCTTGGTGAGTCGTACACGCCTGTTCGTTTCTTCAGCTTCTCTCCTTGAGCCAGATTCACCGGCTTGTTAACCAGGCCGGGATCCGCTGACGTGGACAGGTGTGTGACAAAGGCCATGGCTAGGGTCAGGTGCCTGTCGCTAAAGCCCAAGCTTCATAAGACAATTCAGAGGAGAAGAAACAGGTTTCTCGAATCAAACACAAGAGAAACTCAATAAAGCTTTAAAATCTGGGCAATGCGCAGGGAAGGGATTGTAGCAATCAGAACGAATTCTATTTAATGGAAAATTACAAGGAAGTGACAGGGAAAGACTTGTGCATCCCTCCCCTCCTTCCCATTGCCCACAATGCTGCCCCAAACTCTCCTTTCACGGCCTTCCTGGACAGACACCCAAGAACAATCCATCCCCAGCTCCACCGAACCTGCAGGGAAGGCAGAACCAGCAGTGACCTCTACTGGGTTCAGGCACAAGGATGGTACCAGTGCATGCAGTGTGTGGCTGTGGGACGGGCTGCTGTAACGGAGATATAAGCAGAGGTGTCACTGCTCAGGGGCTGTGTGAGCCGGGCAGTTTGGGGACGTATTGCACAATCACTCACCTCCCAAAGCGCTCAGGGAAATTGGCTGTGGCCAGGAGCAGCTGGGTCTGTGTGGTACCAGCCGATCTGCCCAGGCTCTCCCCTGCCCTCCTGCATGAACCAAACCTCACTGCCATGGAGCAGGCTGACGAGGGACACCTGCCAGGGCTGGCTGCCACCGTGGCCAACGCTAGGGACTGGACCAGCAACGCCAGGCTCCCAGGCCGAGCCTTGTCACAGACTCCCCGGGTCTGTGTGTGGGGCAGGAGGCCGATCACAGACCCACGCCGGGGCTTCCACAGGCAAAGCGTGCGACAAACACCTGACGTGTGCGTTTCAGGGATTCACACCGTAACTGACCCAGCCGGAGAAGGACGTGAGCAATGCTGTCTCAGTGGGTTACCCAAGCATTCACTTGTCAGCAGTAGCATCTCCCTGCAGCTTTGTGTGAGTGTGGCTTAGTGGTTAGAAATCTCAGCCTCCACCTTGGATTGGTGAGTCTGACAGACAGGGTGGGGCAGCAGCAGATCAGAGGGGCTTCTGTCACCTTAGAGACCTGGGGCTTGGACATTTGGCAGCTTCAAACTGAGGCACAAAATTTACCATGATCAGTTTAAAGTATTAAAAAAATAACCCACACAAGTACCTAAAAATGGTGTCCTTGGAGACCATAGATCTGGTCTGTGAACAAGGATATCTCCAAATCTCTCTCTCTCTCTCTCTCACACACACACACACACACACACACACACTCCATCATGGGCCAAACAGTACAACCCAGGGTTTGTTTTATTAGAACTCACTCAACAACACGAGATATTCAACCATCCTTGCCACTGTCCAAACACAAACGTGTTGCACACAACCCTAGCTCTGGTGTCACAGCCGCTGCACCTAATCCAGGCAGATTCCAGCCCCTGGTTACGTTTTGCTTTTTGAACTTGTTCAGGGCACTGACCAGACACCGGCCCTTCCACTGCGGAGGGTGGGAAGAATGATCCTGGGGGTGACACTTGGGTCTGGGTGCTAGGACACCTGGGTTCTAGCCTTAGTTCTGCCACTGTCTTTGGCAGGTCCCCTCCTGTCTGGGTGCCTCAGTTTCCCCTCTCTAAATTTGGATCTATAACATTTGTGAGGTTTATAAGGGAGTTAACAACCAGCACAAATCTGAAGGCAGCCACGGAAATGACAACCCACCAGTGTGTGCATAGAGCCAGTGCCCACACGTGACTGATGTGACAGGTAAGTGTCTGCACAGCAACTGCAGAAAATAGCAGAAAACTGAACACCCTTGACCCACCCCCTGCCCTGCCCCATCTCCAAGCTCCTGCCCCCCCTCACTCCATCCCCCTCACTCGCTCTCCCCCACCCTTGCTCACTCGTTCATTTTATCCAGGCTGGGGTAGGGGCTTAGGGTGTGGGAGGGGGGGTTGGGGAGCGGGCTCTGGGGTGGGGGCAGTGGGTTGGGGTGTGAGAGGGCGTACGGGCTCTGGCCTGGGGGGTTGGGCTCTGGGGTGGGGGCAGTAATGAGGGGTTTGTAGTGTGGGAGGGGGCTCCAGGCTCGAGGTTGGGGTGCGGGAGAGGGTTCGGGGAGTGGGCTTTGGGTGGCACTGACCTCAGGCGGCTCCCAGGAAGTTGCAACATCTTCCTCCAGCTCCTAGGTGGTGGCACAACCATGGGGCTCCACGTGCTGCTCCTGTCCACAGATCCAGTGGTCATAGTTCCTGGCCAATGGGAGCTGTGGAGCCAGCGCTTGGGGCAGGGGCAGCGTGCAGAGCCTCCATGGCCACCCCTGTGCCTAGAGTCCGCACCCTGCAGGGACATGTCAGCTGCTTCCGGGAACTGCACGGAGCCGGGTAAGGAGCCTGCCTGCACCACCAACCAGACTTTTAACGGAGCCACCAGGGTCCCTGTTTGACCAGGTGTTCTGGTGGAAAACCAGATACCTGGCATTGGGCAGCCCTGACTGGGAGGCGTGACTCTCAGCTCATGTAGAGGGACCCGTGCTAGTGCCTGTAAACATCCCAGCAGTGACAGTTGTGTGATGAGTGCTTGGCCCTGCTGCCCAAGTAATCGATCACTGTGGTCAGACATCCCCTGTCACCAGACACATCCCCCTCCTACTCTCCCCTGTCGCATCCCCCCCTTCCCCCAGCCCAGGTTATTCCCCAGCCCCACTTCCAGAAGAAAAGACTTTCCTGGTTTTCTGTTTCCAACAAGGGTTTTAGGTGAGAATTTTCTGCTCACAGTGACAGGGCACCTCCCCCACCCCCAGGCCCGGCCCCATGTTTTAGATCACAAGCCATGAATGGCAGCAGAAGGCCCCTGGTGGCTCCAGATGTCTCCAGTCCAGAGCAGGAAGGAAACTGAGGCAGGGGTTGAATAGGGAGGGGTGAGTAGATCTGTGTCTACTCTGTGCACAGTGTCTGTGTGTCTGTGCTGCACCTCCCAGGGGGGACGATGAAGCGGGCCCTTCGCGGGCTCCCACCTTTTGGTGGAGCTCTGCCAGAGGGGTGTTAAGCTACAGGAGATTCTGAGGGGTCAGCCCCGGTCGCAGGGGCTGGGCAGGGCGCCATGTGTCTAAGCCGTCAGGGCAGGTGCTAGGCAGAGGGGCTGCAACTCAAGAGTGTGCCCGGGGACCCCAAGACAGAACCTGGGTCTTGGGTCTGTTCAGAGTCCCAGATCCAGTGGCTGGGTCCCCTCACAGCATTCTGCTGAGTGGCCAAGAGGGGGCGCGCGTCTGCCACTCGCTGCCAGGCTAAGGGAGTTGGGGTGCAGGGGTAGCAGGGGGAGAAGCCAGGTTTCTGCTGACACAGGCTGGCACCAGCCGTTAATCGACTTCACTCCAGTCAGTTACTGTTTAACCTCCGGCCAGTCTGAGTTCTGGAGAGCTCAATCCGGCTGTGGAACTGGTCCCACAAGCCAGAGGGGTTTTACTGCCTGGTACCCCCGCTCTGCCCCCCACAAGGGCGGAGGCCCAAAGCCTGGCACTGGCAAGGGGATGTTTGCAGAGCAGGGCGATGGCACAGGCGGTAAATCCAGGGCACCCAGCCCCGCCTGCACTCTGGAGAACGGCATCTGCTTGTGGGTCCAGTCCAGAGACAGCTGAGAATTGGCTCTTGTCCAGTGAATGCCTGGGGAACTTGCAAGGGCTTTGCTGAGTAATTAAAAAAAAACCCCAATGGTCCTGGCCAGCGGCCAGCTGGAGAGACGGGCCCAGGCATGGAGAATGGAGAGGAAGGGGGTGAACTGGTTCTCTCTGTCACCGCCTGGGCCAGGCCTGGGCCAAGCATCCTGGCCCCAGGATGTGTTGTGTGTTGGAAGGGAGTTTGACCGTGTCTGAGCAGCCGGACAGGGGCCAATCCCAGATGCTGCCCTGCCAGGGGCACTTGGCATTTCAGCA